CCCCCCCTTCCTGTCCCTGTCATCCCAGAGCCTGGGCCTGGGCAGCCCCTTCTGGAGACGGCGCACCTGGCATCCGTGATGCTCCCCGAGCACATCCCCGCAGGTTGCTCACGTGCGTGGGGACAGTGTCGCTGCCACAGGCAGAAACCCAGCTCCCACTGGGGCGTCAAGGAAGGGAACTGAGGGGCGCCTTTCGCTGGGACATCCCAGGACACGCTGACGTCAGGTGAGGCTGGGTCAGGTCGCTCCCTCTCAGCGTGGGCTGCATCCTCGGGCAAGATTCCTCCAAAAAGCAGCAAAGACGGCGCCAGGCAGCTGCCCCGCATCCACCCAGCTTACTCGGCAAGCCCAGCCGCAGGCCTGGGGCCCTCTGTCATTGGGCCACGTGTGCCGGGGAGACCGAGTGCAGGGACCTGGGAAGGAGGGGTTTGCTAAAATGGAAGTGGAGGGCCCGGCGGCCTGGCTCAGTGGCTGAGCGTCGACCTATGAACCAGGAGGTCACAGTTCGATTCCTGGTCAGGGCACAGGCCCGGGTTGCAGGCTCCATCCCCAATGGGAGGCGTGCAGGAGGCAGCCGATCCATGGTTCTCTCTCATCATGGATGTTCCTCTCTCTCCCCCTCTCTGACATCAATAAAAATATTTTTTACCAAAAGGAAGTGGAGGTGCTGAGGTCTGAGGCAGGGAGGTGGGTGGCAGGCAGGGCTGGATCAAGGGGTCCAGGGGAGGCACTCGAGTCCCCCCTGTGGACCGGTTCTGCCTGCATCCGAGACTGCGAGGGGACACTGGCCAGACCAACCTGGAAGGGCCATGACGAGAGGTGGCCTGTGAGGACAGTGGCCTGGGGTCACAAACACAGGAAGGGTCTCACCCTGGCTGGTGTGCTCAGTGGACAGAGCGTCGGCCTGCGGACTGAAGGGGCCCAGGTTCAAATCCAGTCAAGGGCATGAACCTCGGTCGCAGGCTGCATCCCCTGCCCTGGTATGGGTGTGTGCAGGAGGCAACCAATCAAGGAGTCTCTCTCATATCCATGTTTCTCTCTCTCTCTCCCCCTCCCTCCCTCCCACTCTCTCTAAAAATCAATGGGAAAATATCCTCGGATGAGGATTAAAGAAAAAAAAACCAAACAGACACAGCAAGGACCTACAGACAGGGTTCTCCCCAGACAGGCCCGGAGCGGGGCTGAGCGGTGTGGGGGCCGAGGACGTCGGGGGCCGAGCCCCGCGGGGAGGGACTCTGTGGCACCAGGTGGGGTCCCCTTTGAGCCACCACTGAATTCTGGGGTTTGAACGTGGCCAGAAGCCAAGCCCCGGGGCTGCTTTGCTCCCTCCGATGGGCGCTGGTGAAGAAGGCGTGTGGCACATGCCAGCCGGGAGGGGGAGGGCAGGGGGAGCGGGGACCAGCTGGTACAGCCTTGCTTGCAGGCCCCTGGGGAACCGATTAAAATTTAATAAGTGCATTTCCCAGGGCCCAGCGTTCTCGGCGTGCGCCCTAGAAAAGCACGCCGGTCTTCACACGAGAAGGTGAACACACGTTTCGACAGTAAAAGATGAGAAACTGCTCCCGGGCCATCCGGGCCGTGTGCGCGGTGGTGCTGGCTGGGCCGGGGCTCCTGGAGGGACCGTGTCCCACTGGAGAAGCAAGAGCCCTATTTCCTTTTATTTTTTAAATGTATTGTTATTGATTTCAGAGGAAGGGAGAGAAACATCAATGATGAGAGAATCATCGATTGGTCGCTGCCTGCCACAGGCACCCCTATTCCCGCCCCCCACTGGGGATCGAGCCTACAACCTGGGCATGTGCCCTCACTGGGAATCGAACCGTGACCTCCTGGGGCCACCTGCCCTCTGCTCAGCGGCCGAGACGGTGTGAACGCACCCCAGTCGGGGCCCTGAGCCAGCGAACCCCCCTGCTGGGCACACACCATGGTGTGCATACGTGACGGCGTGTGATCCAGTGACAGACGACGTGTGAACACACAAGCCACACAAGCAAGGAGCCGCCAGTCGGTAGCTAGAAAAGGTGTTTTCTTCCCATTTTATTGATAATACATTTTCACAGAAACATGATATTATTTACAAATATACAGGTAAGAGACTGCTGGTCAAAAATCTTAAACTGAAATTGTCATCAAAAATGAATTTACAAAACCCGCCACTGTCCACGGACACCCGGGGAGTGGGGACGGCTCCATGCGGCCCGAGCCGAGGTGGCCCCGGCCGCCAGGGCGTCTCAGGAGGCACTGGTCTGCATGTTTTTGGAGGCAGCGAGCATCGCTCGGACTTTGGCCATGAGGTCCTGTGGGAGGAGAGAGACAGAGGGACTTCTGGGAGCTGCACTGAGACCCGGAGGTGGGCCATCAGCGGGCAGTGACTTATGAAAGCTGGCGGGCGGAGACCGAGGCCGGCCTGGGAAGACGGGTGTGGCTGAGCGCGTCCCAGTGCGGGCGGCAGGCTGCCAGGTCACCCCGGGCGAGGGAGACACCCCCAGCTTGGGGCGACCAGGGGACCCGCCAGCCCCCGTGAGAGGAGGACGGGGAGGCGGCGCCCTCTCACCTGAGTGATCTTGCTCTGCACAGAAGACACGATGGCCGAGGAGATCTGCCCCTCCTTCTCCTGAGACACGCCCCTGCGGCAGACAGGGCAGAGCGTCACTCGGACGCCAGCGAGACCAGCAACGCCGCCCTCACAGCCACCCTCGGGCCCGGGGACGCGGTGGGCGCTGCTGGCTGGCCAAGCACGCGACAACCAGCGTGGACGCAGCCTGAGGTCTGGAGTGAGGGGTGTGGATGGGGCCCCGCCCAGATGCCGAGTGAGGACAGGAGCGTCGGGTGCTGTGAGGCACGGGGACCAGCGGGAAGCCCCTCCCTGCGTCTGAGGACTGTGTCCGTCCTGTGGATGCGGGCGGCCCACCCACCCCCATCACTGCTGGTGCC